TTTGCTCGCCCCTGCACAGTGTGTGCTCGCCTTGCCTGCAGGGTCCACGCGCAAGCCCATGCCGTGCGCAGCCGTAGGTGCTCGCGCCCTGCTCTCCTGCTTGTTAGGGGTGCTTGCGGCCTCCCGCTTGTGCTCCTAGGCCGCCGAGCAGGTGCTCGCCCAAGGGTGTTGCGGCCTCGTGCCCAAGGTCACACAGTGTTCGCCACTCTACTGGTACATCGGTGAGGTGCATGTGCCGCTGCTGACCTCCACGCCAGCGAGCTCAGTGATGATAAGCCTCCGTTCGTCGAGCAGCAATGTAACATTACGCTGAAAGCGCATATTGCAAGCATATGTTTCAAGAGTTTCAGATGTTTTATCTGGATGTTGCATGTGTTTCAACTGGATGTTGCAAAACTAGATCGGGATGTTGCACATGTTACAATAGCTATACACGTATGTTGCAAGTATATGTTCCAAATACTTCAACTTTTTCAAAAGCATGTTGTAAGTATGTGTTTCAAATGTTTCGATTGTTTCAGACGTATGTCACAAGTGTTTTATCTCAATGCTGCATATTTTGCAGTGGCTACACATATATGTTGCAAGCGTATATTCTAAATGTTTCATCTATTTTAGACGTATGTTGCCGCAAGTTCTCATGTTGCAAGTGTTTCATAAGGCACAGACGGTCCCCATGGGGCGGGGTGAGCGCCTGGGACGCAGCAGGGAGAGCAGGCGAGGACGAGCAGTAGCAGGGCGCAGGCGAGCATGCATGCGTGCGTGTCCGTGAGTGGGGGAACCAGAGGGAGCATGTGGGAGATAGCCGGGTGTGGGACCCGTCACAGAGGCAGGGGCAGTGGAGCGTTGTCGTTTTCTACCGATCCATTTTGGCCACTGACGGGCCCAGCTGACAGCCGAGAGAGGTGCGCTCGGCAGGCTGTTCGGCCATATGTCCACGAATGTGCAGAGGTGAGAGCGCCTTGGGGGTCGTACGGGTGAGCACGCGTTGGGCAACAATAATTTTGCGGCGGGCGCATATTATCGTTGGGCTTTTATCGTGAGTGGCGGGCGCGCCTTGGGGGTCGTACCAAACAAGGCCTTACTAGTCACCATCGTCTACTTTGTAGCTACAGCCTAGGAATAGGACTATACTCCTACCAGTGGCGGAGCCAGGATTCCAAACTTGGGTATTCCTACTTCCACGTCAATAAAAAAAATCAGTTGTTTTTAACTACAATGAGTGAAAATACTACAAAATATGAGTCAATTTGAGAGGCTGTTTTTTTTACTGTTTTAGGCTTCAATGAGTGAAAATACTACAAAATATGGCATTATACATATACATATACAAGTATATACACATATATACATAGAAGTGTGCTAAAATAGTTGGGTATTCCTGGGAATACAGGGAATACCTCTGTATCCGCCCATGACTCCTACATGCATGCGTTGAATTGAATCTGCAACTAGTGCACGGATTGGATCAACGAAGGCAAACTCCCGCAAGGATTTCAGGGAACAATTGCCTATGCTCAGTCAGAAGGTAGAATGCGAACAGGGTTATTTTGAAAGACGAAACAGCAAATCATCCTCCCTCAATGCAAGTGTCAAGAGAATATATGGTTGTTACAGTTACATCTGGGTGGCTCAAGCAGCTATAGCCTATAGCACAAAGGTTGACGGGAAATGGAACAACCTTCTAACAGCAAACAGTTGAATTTATCCCTCGACAGAGTAAAATAAGCAGCAGCCCTGTCTGTAGCAACCCAAAGGCAAAGGCAGCAGCACAAAGCAGAGAGAATCTCAGGGTGTTTGATTCGGTGACTAAAATATAAGAGGTGTCACGTGAGGATATCGTATGTGATGTTCGGATACTAATAAAAAAATAAATTATAGAATCCATCGGTACTCCATGAGACAAATTTATTAAGCCCTTGTTTAGTTCGCGAAATTTGGATTTTAGGGCTATTTCAGGAAGCATCTTCTATGCTTTTATTCAGAAGGTAAATGCGAACAGTCCAAACATTGACTAATTAGGCTCAAACAGCAAATCTCGCAATTTCACCAAAGTGTGTGAATTAGTTTTTATTTTCGTTACATTTAATGCTCCATGGCTCAAGCAGCTATATTCCTGTATAGTGATCAAAGGTTTTTTGAAAATTGGGGTAGAACTAAACAAGGGCTAAGCTAACAATTAATTCAGTTTAATTTTTCCCTAGCACTACATTATCAAATCATGGATTAATTGGACTTAAAAGATTCGTCTCGTAAATTAGTCGCAAGCTGTATAATTAGTTTCGTAATTAGTCTATATTTAATACTCCATACATGTGTCACATATTCGATGGGACAACGACTAAAGTTTAGGAGAAGAAACCAAACACCCCTTACACCTTGTTTATTTAATTGTATCAGCCATGCTTATCCATCGAAAACATCATCAACCGACTTATAAGCTAGCGAACATCAGCCGGCTTATCCGCTCCGAGTAACATGCGCATATCAAGAATCCGAGATCTTGGACCGTTCGCTTCCGATTCAAATTCCTATCCGGCGACCATGATCCTTCCTTTGTTCCAGATACCAAATGCATGCTACTCGTTGCTGGCATTGTAGTACTTTATTAGCTCCCTTCCAGTCCATCTCTCTCTTCATTCTTTCTCACCATGATCTCGCACGCTGCTGGCCTTGCCTTTTTACCTGCATGCCGGCCGGCTTCGTAAGAAAAGAAGGTACAGTACTCCGAGGAACCTGCCCTAGTACTTTGAAAAAGACTACAAAGTTTACAGAACATGCTGCCATGCTGGCGCTATCACCACCGATAAAAAAGAGAAAAAGGACATCATCGCTCCTCTTCTCTTCGCCCTGGTTAGCTTGTCTTAAATTTAACTTATTCGACTTATTTTTTTAGTCAAAATAGTATTTTTTTCTTACAACAATTCAATCAAAACAGTATAATGTTTTGCAGCCAGTTTCGACCAAACTTCGGAGCAGCAAACGTCGCTCGCGAGTCTCGCCTTCGAAGGTCGCGCCGCCGCCCGCAGCTGCCGGCCACGCCTTCGCTCCGCTCCGCCAGACCGCGGCGGCGCCGTCCACACGCCGGCCTGCGGAGTGCGGACTCCAGTGCTGACTGCGCGGCCGCGCCGGCCGCCGACGCCGCCCTGCTCTGCTACGGCCTACGCTCCGCCGTCGCCAGCCGGACGCCGCGCCCGCACTGCTCTACTACGCCTGGCTCAGCGCCTCTCTGAAGCAGACGACCAAGCGAGCAGCCTGCAGCAGTGCAGCGTGCAGCTGCTCTCTGGCCTCTGGCTGACTGGCTCTCTATTTGGAACTGTAAGGTTGTGACTCTAATTCTCTGCAAATTTTGATTCCTAGACTCCAATTTGTAGAGTACTAATTCCAAATAGAATATAAAATCACAGATATCTCTATGCAATGGCATGAGGCTCAGTCACTGAGTTAACTCACTGGGGAGTATTCCCTAAAAAAAAACTCACTGGGGAGTAGAAAAGAAGCCACGCAAAATGTTTGCCGATTTTGGGGCTGTTTGCTAAGAGGAATTTTGGAGGAATTTTGACGCAAAATGTTTGCCGATTTTACAACCCAAAGCTGAGCTCACAAAAAGAAGCAGCTCCCGAGTTTAAGGCACACCGAACAGTCTTTACCCCAAAGCTGAGCTCACAGCTCCTCGCTCTCCCGGTCTCCCTCTCCCCTTATCGCCTCCCCTAAAACCCTCTTTTTTCTCGACACAGCAGCCTCCAGGGGACTTCCCATAGGTGCGCCGCTTCTTCTTGGTCCATGTGTTTGCTGATTCCCTGGGTTTGTTCGGTTTTCCCCCTCCACCGCCGGGGGTTGTGATGAGTATTTGACTATAGGCGTCTTTCGTTTTCTCAGTTTCGGTGGGGGTTCTTGATCGTGATGTGCTAGCTGCTGCCTGATGCTCGACGCTGACAGTGTTTGACACTGTTCAAGCTACTGACCTACTGTAGAGCTATGTGTTTGACACACGCTGTAGTGACAGTGCTCGCCGGGATTTATGACTTGACACTGTAGCTTGATTGAACTATGGAACTTTTGTGTGCTTGTTGACTAACGTTGTTGAGTTGTTCTTTTAGGCTGAAACATATTCTTGAAGGCAGCTTGGTTTTGCACAGGAGACAGAGGAGGGTATTGCACAAGCCTGTAGCTTCCTTGTTGCTGCATACAAATGTAAGTAGAATTATTACCCACAATGCAAACAAGTTAAATACAGGTACTGTTAGTGTGGTACTCTACGGCATTGCCATACTGCACATAGTTTATTGGTCAATGCATACTTTATAAAATCCAGTAATCAAGTTTGTATAGCATTCCTTATGTTTTTTGGTTAAATACTGCTAGATTTCACGTTAGCCAAAGATTTCCAAATAGATCTCCAAATATATACCTCTATCTATTCCAGATTTCTCGTTAGACAAAGATGGAGAGCAAGAATGACTCTCTACGGTGCATACAAGATATAGAAAAATTATTGGAGGGTACAAAGATATAGAAATCGGTTTTTACTCAAATGACTCTCTAAATGATGATTTAGATATTAAAGTTTAGAAAGACTCCTGGAGATGCTCTAATTAGGTAGGAGGTCTATTCCAGTTTCAGGTAGAGTCCAAATATCACGAAACAATCTCAAAACGGACTCAAATCAAACATGAAAGTTAAACCCATCTCTGACTTCACCTAGACTAGACAGTCTGGTGTGCTAGGAGCAATGCACCGGACCATTCGGTGTTTTCAATTTGCATGACCGCCAGATTTGGGTGCGAACAAAATGTTTAGATACATAGTTGCATATGAGTTGTATTCTCAAATTAAATTATTGGAAGCGAGAATTTCCCTTTTATATAGAATTATTGATGTCATTAACTAACACTTTATTCATTATTCATGCATTGTATAGGAAGAAGACCTTGGTTGTTGCTTCTCTGTTGACATGCAGAGTTGCTACGCTCGTGCTGTGCTGTGCTTCGCTTGCACGTATGGCTGCAGCACCCGTTGCTATGAACTACAGCGTGTTCAGGTAACCAAATTCTCCATTCTATCCTTCAGTATTTAGTACAATCGCTACCTTTCTGTTTAGCCACATCAAAATATGAACCACTATACATTTGTTCTATTTGCAACACAACCATCTCATCTTTAACTGATTATCTGCAAACAAAATGGCCCAAACAGAGAGCAATAATTAATTACGTCCCACATATATGTTACTAGAAAAGTGATGGCGGTTCTCAATGGTTCTCTCAAGTTTCAAGTAGTCCACTTCATTCCCGTTTCTCTTGTTAACTTCCTTTGTAAAAGGTTTGCAAACTAACATCACCACATTATCTGGCGTTTTTCTTTTTCAAAAGTTTATTCTCAGGATATAAAATGTTGTTTCATGCTTTGTACTTTTACATGGTTTTATGCATAAAACTGTGATGCATTTTTACCGTACAAGAACCATATAGTGTTCTTCATTGTTCGTAATGAAATGATTTGGTCTGAATTTTTTTTCTTCACACTTAGATCCTTAAAAACTGTTGTATCTGCTAATTGTCGGATCTTATAATTTGTTTACTATTGTAAATGGTAGATCATCTATAGATATCGAATACCATGAATTAGAGATCCTATTTGCTAGATGCTCTGTTTGCTTAAAGATGCATTAATATACTCTATTGATTAAAAGAGTCAATATGCATGATCTTCTATAGAATTAATTGTAGCAGGAAGAGTATATGCATTATGAGCTTTTATAGAATAGAGCTTATGTCTGTATATACTCTGAAGCTTATAAAACATAATAGTAATTTAATGTCATTAAGCTATATTATAGGAATACTATTGTTTTTATATATTTGATTAATGTGTTTATTTTATTTTGTTTCAGGTTTCTTATGGTTGTCTTGACCATCCAGCTTCCTTTCTGCGTAACAAGGTTGCTGCACGATGTTACAATTGTTGTCTTCCATGTTCCACCGCCTGGAAACCTTACCTCCACACTGATAGTCATATTTGAGTGGGTATGTAAAATAATGTTCCTAGACTTGTTGGCGACAGCATAAATCCTGAGTATCCAACTAAAAAAACTAAAATTGTCAATTTGTGTCAATTTGCAGATTCTTTCAGTCTTGGTTTTAGCTGCCAGCTCTTCCGCGCTGTCTGTCGAGGTGTACATGGACAAAGACACAGGTGCGTGTATGTTCATGCAACCACAGCCATGTAGGTGGTACAAGGAGGCAGCCATGCTGGGCTTGCTGGCGTGGGTCTTCAGCTATGCCATCGCATTGCTTCTGATCTATCTCCAGTCTTCTCGGCACGCCCAACCTCCTGCCCCTGCCCCCGCTCATGGCCACGACCAGGGCTAGATAGGTAAATCACAGGAATCCTTCCATTCCAAAATTTATGTCGCTATGATTTTTCTTCATACATATAGTGTTTACTATGTATCTAGACATAGCATATATCTGTATACACACACGGGAATGGTTGGATCTAGTAATGCACAGTTGTCGATGTCTTTGTCGCAGCCATGTCATTTATGCAATGCAACAGTACTGCGATGAGGCATATTACATTAATTATTAGAAATTGATTAAGGAATTGCATCAAGAATTCAAGACCGTGGCAATATGAATGACCATGGCATTATGGAAGCATAGCTCTCATATATATAGTCATAATGCAACAAAGTTAGTTTCCTGAATTTTAATGTTCCATGACATTTTTCTGCAAATGAATGATTGTGAGCTTGTAGCCCTCATGAAAAATGTACATCTGAATGATTTTACCAATAATTGAGACTGCAGTTTTCAACCATTGACCCTTATGCGTTCTGTATCCTTAACTTGTAGGGTACAGAGTCATCCAATGCATGCTGGAAATGGTGCCTGTGGTTCTCACTACAGAAACTGGCGTGAAGACAACGCTAATTTGAAATGAACCGGTCAAGGTTGCTTAGATGCAGCAAACCTCTTGTGGGAAGGCTCTCATTTAGTAAGCTTTAGTATGTTTGGTGAAATTAGTATGTAGTTATTGGTAAATTAGTATGAACTAGATAGTGCAGAGGCCTCTCTCCTTTATGTAGTCTGACATGCTACTCTAAACTCATATACAACTAGGAGCTGGACTTGCTTTGTAGTCTGACATCTATATATGTGATGTAAATTTAGCTGGACATGATGATCAGTCAATGCCATTCTGTGAACCTTCAACATTGATTTGGCAGTGAATTCGCTAATAGAGTTACTTCAAGACGTGAGTACTCGGAACGCAAATTTGTGACCCTCAAATCTAATGTTGAAGCACGCAATGGCATCTCTTTCGGAAGGAGGTCTTGTAAAATTTGTACTGATTTTATAAAGTGAAGGAGATATGTAAACAAAACCATGGCAAATTTAAATTAACTTTGTTTCAAACTGTTCCCACAAAGCATATTATTAGCTAGCAAAATTACGATTAGCTAGCTAGCCGGAGTCTACGATGTTGGCACGTTGCTGATGGACGACGGCGAGCGGCGCAGAGCCCGAACCTCTGCTGGCGGCGGCGGGCATCTGGGGTTGCATGTCTGGCAATGTTCCCTGCACAGTTCCCGAGTTTTATAGCACCAACCATCCTCCGGGTTTGTCTCACAGCAGTAGCACTTGCCAATATTTATGCATTCATTCTCAATACAAAATATCGTAGCAACCTTGCTACTGTTACTGTGAGCATAGTTTGCTGCATCACCAGTGTAGTTTCTTGAACCCTCGTCCCAACCAAGTAGCCGGCGACCTCTCTCACCTGCAGGTATATAAATTTTTTTGTTACTTCGTACAATAGAGAGCATATTCCTCCAAACCGGCTGCGAATTATTGTGTACCACCGGCCGGATCTGTGCCTACTACATGCTGGGGAATGCATACACCATGTTTGGGCAAGTATATGTGGAACAAAAAAAGGATGAAGTCAAACTTTCTACCTCAAACTTGCGCAATAGTATGATTTTCAATCTTAAACTATGAAACCTGGTGAAACACACCCTCCAACTATTGAAACCGGGCAAATTCGGTCATTTTTAAAGGTGGTTTTCTATTCTACTTTATAATAATAACAGAATTCCAGTTTGGAATCTAGAAATTCGTAGTTAATCTATTTTAATAAACCATAAAAATATGAAACTAGTTCCAATTTTTTTCTAAAAATTCATCTATCTATTAGTGCTATATTTAGATCTTGCTTGTTTTAAATAAATACGAGTGCAACTACAAGCAACAAAACTATAGAAACAGATATTAACCAATTATAAGTACCTATATATAGATCATAAACAAGTAGAGAACATTTTTGTAAAAAGAATTGGTCCTAGTTTCATATTTTTTGATTTAAAATCAACTATTTTTGATAATTAGAGGGTGTTTGTTACCCTGTTTCACAGTTTCAGATTGAAAATCAGACTAGGGTGAGAATAGACTTTACAAAAAAAAATACATCCAATGATCCAAAACATATCTATAGTCATGCATGATAAATAAAACAGTAGAGAACCAAACGTACTCGTATGTATATAAAACCGCTCGTTTTTATAATCAAGTGTTCTTTGGCCATACTCAGCTTCTAAACTTATGACCTAAAGTTTCTCTTAAAGCATAAGAACTCATAATTTGTGTGATCACAATGAACCGGTTAACCATTGATCAGACATATAGCTATATGCTAATTGTCGAAAGAATCATAAAGTTTAAATCTTGCAGTGTGTGCATATATGCATATGTATCAATGTATGCTATGTGAAAAAAAGAGAGAAGGAAGCAAGTAGTACTACACGTAATAATACATACAATGTGCTGATGCCAGGAAGCATCCGAAGAGCACCAGGAAGAATAACGCCTGCAGGTTCTTCTGGCTGGCGCTCCCCATCTCTGACCGATGCTCGAGATGGGCTGACGAGAGGGAGACGAGACGAGGAGTTGATCGATGGGCGGGTGCTCCTATACGGCATACATATGCCAGGTATATATATAGCTTCACGCATGCATATATGGAAATATCTGACGCATGCAGTACGTGATCACACGGGACACGGCGGCGGGTACGTTTTAGTTTCAGGTTGCAAATAGTACCATATATACATACAGCTCATGTATGTTTCCTTAATTTCTTCTTGTGATGTACACTAGTAACATAGATTTTGCATGACATGTACAAGTATGCAATCAATTGGCTATTTAACGCATTCTCACTCGCAGAAATTAAGGAAAGCTACCAACTAAGGGCTGCCACCGGCGGGCCACACACACACTCCTTTCACGCGCTGGCGACGAGCAGACTCATCGATTGCTCACTAAATTTGTTCTATTCAAGTATAACAACATATTATTTCATATTAGTCAAATTTGGTTACAAAACTCCTGCGAGATCTTCGCCAACCAAATCTCTATCCTGAACCTCTGATGATGGATGGTGCTGATGCTGGTGGTGGGGCAGGTGGGCACACTGGATGGCAGCAGTTTTTAGCGCACAATTCATAGGTGTTGAAGCACCGATGCGGGGGCATGAGCGCACAGCAGTAGCACGGTTCATACGTCGGGAAGCATATCTCATGCGCCGAGCAAAATACCAGCTTGCTCCCGCTAGTATCCCGACTACTACTCTCATCCTGCTTGTCCGGCAAACCATAACTGATCGGAATAATACCATTGTTTAATTCTTCCTCCTCGAGAAGCTGATGATGATGATCACTTTCACCTGTAAGTTTTTTTTACACAAAATTCTGTAAGTACACCACAACAAAAATATAGTAATATACAAATGAATGGATGAGAATAAGGTGCATATATATATGTTCATGCTTGAAAAATTAAGAGAACAGTATATAACCAGTGGTACTCAACTACTCATGGAGTGTGCTGAGGTTAGGAGGCATTGAATAGCACAGCAAACAGGATCACCATCACAATCGTCACGCTAATGCTACTCCCCATCTAGGGCTTGTTTGGAATGTAGAAAAAAAAATCTTGTTAATTCGTTTACCCTGCTGCGGTCCTGTGGTTTATATAGATCCATCGGTGTCCCATCTTTTGCATGACAAATAATGAACTTAGGAAGTAATTAATTACACTGACATATGAATAGTATATGAAATATTTAACATGCATATATGCATCCGAAGTTAGTACGTATACATTAGATGCATATATAGGTCTACTGAAGTGTAGCATGCATGAATATGTACATCTGTGGTTAGTGGCAAACTATTATCTCTAGTGATGCAAGTACCATATTTTGGAGCATATGTATCTTGCATTTTAATCACTATTTAAACCGTCTAAAAATATTTTTAAAATTTTGTAACGTTGTAGTTTATGATTGTTTATAGTGTAAGTCATCAATGAACTGCCACAGGAGTACATAGATTTTATAGAATGCATTGAAGTAGTAGCACTGCATATACAGTTTCCTATGTAACTCTGACCAACCCCCTAAGAGAAAATTCATTGTATGTTCCTGTGAAACTCGCTTCTACAGCACTGCGAATTTCAGAATTTCTTGTACGATACTATGTTCAAATTTCTTTCGCTAGCTATTTGATCTCTCTTTTGAGAGCTAATATAAAATTCTTCCTAGACTAGTTATTTGAAAACCATTGGGACGCACTCATCATCTTCATTGATATCTGGCCTCGGAATCATAAAGACCTCTATTGTGCCCGTATGGTGCTGCTGACGCAGAGTTCAGTGGTCGTGGTGCTGGAGGCCTGGAGTAGATCTCTGTGGTAGATGCTTCTTCGTGGACTGAGAGCGTGATACGTTAGTTATCCCATCGTGCCAACTACCCGGGACAGATCAGATGAGTTCCCGAGTAGCCGGACCCCTGGGCAGTGTACAATCTTTGCTTCTGATGTGGCTGTGAGCACTAGGCCTTGTTGAGCGCCTGTCAGAGGGAGTTGTTCTTGATCCTCCCCCCAGATCGGAGTGGATAGCATGATCTTTGATACCGCCCTCTGGTAGACAGAAGTAGCGAGGTTGTTCGATTGATGGTTTCTGCGGCTGATAAGCCGGCTGGAGCTGATTTGTTGTGAGAGAAAAATATTATTCCATGACCGATAAGTTAGGTTGATAAGTCTCATTCCCTCTGTTCTTCTCTGTTCCCCATTCCCATTCCCTCTCAAATCTAGTTTATCTGATCAAGATCGTGAGTTCGTGACAACTGGATGCCTCCTTCCTAAGCTCGAAGAAACTCTCCCCTACCAGCACACCCTTAATGTACATGGACCTGAGCTCGAAGCAGACTTTGACCGTTTCCTCGATGGCATCCGGTTTGATGATTGTTGACGGTGAAAATGTCCTAAATTTACACACTCAAAACACCGTCAACAGCCTCAAATCAAAGGAAGAATAATATAACATGAGCATATTTTTATTAATAACAACTTCAACTTGTATCTTGAGATATTTTTCTACGGGATATGACAAGTGGGGACAAAGGAGCTTGTGGGACCCACATATAGGAGGGTCGGCCAACCCACCCTTGGGCCTACCAAGGTGTGCCAAGTCACCACCTGCCAAGTGGGCCCACAACCCTCCACCACCTTCCAACATGCAAGACACATGCCAAATTACCTTAGCCCTTGACTCTAAGGCAGATCTATAGCGGTTTGATCTAATGGTGGACAAAGAAGATCACGCGGATCGCTAGCGACCTACCCCCTCTCCATTCATGCCTTTAAGCTCCAAGTGGAGAGTAGAGTAGCTCCATTTCTCTGAGTAGTGTATTCTAGTGTGGTGCATCCGCATTGGCTGAACATGCATAAACCTTAAAATGGTGCACATATATTGTCAAAATTTCACATTTGTTCGACCATTCCTAGGATTGTAACACAAAAATTTTCTTCCATGCCCAGCAAAAGAAAAAAAAACAATTCACATTTCCCTTCCACCACCAATTCACTCCGATCAAAGAAGACACATCGCATTAGCACAAGGTCATCAACACGCATGGCCAATCTCTTTGCTATGACCTGATCATTAGGCTGTGTTATAACATATAATCTCAATAAACTACTTATTAGTAAACTTAGTAATGTTTGTATGCAATTGATCTAGTTTCCGCACCAGCTTCGGGTGAACACGAGAAAAGAAACAGAGAGTTGCAGCATCTTAACAACATCAGCGGCAGTAGAGGTTGTAGTAGGCGTGGGCACAGACGTGGCACGCTTCTGCTGCCTCTGTTGGGATCGATGCATCTGCATCGGCAGGATCGGTCGGCCACTACGCTTCACTCCGTCTCCTTTCTCGGTCGCCTCCCCTCTCCATTCAGGCCGCGCGGGAGCAACTTTTTATATCTGCCTATGATGCCATGCATATGGGGGAGAAGAGATGGATCATGCTGGGGTTTTGGGCATGGGTCACAAGAACAACCACTCTTTCTAATGAAGCGAGCGACGGGGAGAAGAGATGGATCCGCGAGCACTGCACTGTCGTGCTTGGTGCATGCACCTGATCGACCGACCCGCACGCCCAGCCGTACTGTTTCGCACCCGTCGTGACCCGCGCCGTGGTGTGAGCTGTGTTTTTGCTTTTCGCATGGCTCAGCTGCTGCTGCGTCCTTGTGTCAGGCAAGGTAGAGAGAAGAGAGGAGGCCAGGGAGTACGGAGTACGTAAGCATTGGAACTCGCGGTAGATGAGGTGGTGGGGTGTGCCGCGGACTAGTAGGCGCGAAAAGCGAGAGAGCGTCGCGGCGCACACTGGCATGCGGCGGCGGCAGCCCGACAGGGAGCGAGCAGACCGTCCCGATCGTTTTACTTTTGGAACATATAAGGTGCAAACTAACTAACTTATATAAACTTGAAAACTACTGATAAGAACCACTAGATGCTGATCCAATAAGGTGAGCGGGCTTAAGCATAAAAAAAAGATCAGCGGGTGGGGGCTTAAGCGTAAAAAAATTTCACCTCTCACCCCATTCATTGAATCAGTATCTAGTGGTCATGTTGGTTGATTTACACCTGATATGTTACCTTTGCTTTTCGGTATTGGCCCTGCGTTGCTCTGCTCTGCGGCCTGCTAGCGCAATACAATACAACAGCGCGCGTTGCTGTCACAGGTGTAGTTAATTACAATAAGCTAAGTTAAGCACATTTAACGATCCTAATGAAAAACGACACCCCTATGTGCATGCATGCTACCTCCATTTTGATTTAAATTTGAGCATCTAGTCTAGTAGTAGTATTGGATAGAGCACGTGCATGCTTCTGGCCACGTGGAAATCTCCTACTCCCTACGTCCACAGAAGAACGTAACTATTGTATATATGTCGAGCAATCAAGCTCAAGTTTGACCAAATTTATAGTAAATAATATTAATATTTATATCACCAAATAAATTTATTATAAAAATACATTATATAACCAATTTAATGGTACTTCATGTATTTTGTATCATTAATGTTTGTACTTTTTATATATAAATTTAGTCAAAGTTTAAATTGTTTGACCCTTTTTGCATTCTTTTGTAGATGGAGATAGTAGTAGTAAGGCCAATCACGGTGGGAGTTTCATCCAAGTTTCATTCATATTTAATGAGCTGCCATGTAGGCACTTTTGATGATGTGGCACCACATGTAAGAAGAGAGAGAAAATTAGTTTCATATAGATGAAACTCTTCTGGCACATTTAACAACTCGTAATGAATTATGAAATTAAATGTCAATGAAACTATTGAATGAAATTATGTAGACTTTAAGAGTGATTGTTTAATTAACAGCCCTGTAAAACTCTTCGCTGGGACTGGCCTAACACCTTGTTAGTCTAACTGGCGGGTGGGCCGGAGTCCATATGAGGAGGATGCATTGCCCTTGCAGAGCGTGTCGCTGCTTGTTTCATTACACAGCACTATAAAACTCTTCACTGGTACTGGCATAACACCTTGTTAGTCTAACTGGCGGGTGGGCCGGAGTCCATATGAGGAGGATGCATTGCCCTCGCAGAGCGTGTCGCTGCTCTCTCATCGACACCAGAGCCCACAAAACACTACCGGCTTTGAGGTTTCCCCTCTGGCACTGTGTGAACTAATTTTCCGGTTATCCCCTCTGGTGCCAAGCCTGGGCGGCCCCATAGAATATTTGCGGGACCGCACTATCGGTGGGAACCACAGCCGCATGGGATGAAAGCCATTGAGGAAGAGACACACCCCACTAGTAGTACAAAATGCACAAAGCAAGCTGCAGAGGGCAGGGTGACCAGGTCACGTCTCCGTCTCCCGGTTGGCGGTGGCGGTGCGAGAGGAGATATGGGAGCCATGGGTCCAGGGTTTTGCACCGCCAGCGGAGGCGGCTAGTAGCGGCGGCGACGAGGAGGCACTGGCCGCGGCTCCAGGGTTCCGGCACGGGCGGATCTATATAGGTGCGGCCGCACCCAGGCCAAAATCCAAGATACATTATAGTATGTACGTTTCTACCGTCTTTGCACCCCCCCAAGTCCAAACGTCTGCACCCACAGCCGGCTGAGCCGACACATGGAGCCCAAAACAGCCCACTCCTCAACAAGCAGCCCAATCAGCCATGTTCCCACCCGCACGTAATCATCGGCCCTAACTCTCGACGCATCACCTTCTTTCGCTCCGGCTTTCTCTCCCCTTCCGCACGCCCGTTCTCTCCCCTTGGCGACACTGACACGCGAACTCCGGTGGAGGATGGCTCGCTGGCCGTCGATCGCGGCCGGCCATGGCACTGTTGTGCGTTGGCCAATCAGCCAGTCTTAGGGGCAAGGGCACCAGGAGCACATCATAGTCCGCCCACTGCCCTGGTCGTCCTAGAATGAATTTTATTGGTCACTTTTTTTAATTACAATTAGGATTATACTCATCGGCTGCAAAGAGAATAAAAAAATAATACCATGATAATTATGATTTACACGGGAACAAAAAATAACACCATGATAATTGTGATTCGCGCGTGTATTTTATTGTCAGTTTTTCACACCTCCAATTACCAATTTTGACACAAAATTTGCATCTTACTTGTGTACACTATCGACTTTAATTTGCCGCGCACCCACAATTTTGTTTCGTCCTCCGCCACCGATTACAATTCACAATTCACCATGCTGTTTTTTGAAATTCATTTTGCTAGGATCGAAGCCTCCACGGTACGCCATCGGTCGTAAAAACGAGGTGAGATGCGGATACAAAAGCATCAAACTGCCTCCACTCGGCAACCGGGATACACACACGTACGCACGGCCACCACCACCAGCTGGCCTTTTCCACGTTCAACAAGGTAACGTAACACCCGCGGCCGCGCCTTGGCGAAATGAGATCCGGACCTCCTCCGATCCTCCGTCTTCCCAGCTAGCGCGCGCGCGGCACCGGCACCGGCACCGGTACCGGCCCCTCGATCCATCGACTCGGATCCCTGCCTGCCAGTGCATGCCCTGGAACTGGAACGGAAGGCATGGCAGCGTCGCCGGACCACCTCTTCGGCCTGCGCAACAGCTTCTACATCGGCGCGTACCACGCCGCCATCACCAGCAGCCAGTCCCTCCCCGCGCACGCGCTCTCCCCCGACGACCTCGTCGAGCGCGACGCCCTCCTCTACCGCTCCTACATCGCCATCGGCTCCCACCAGGTGAGTGCCCTGCCCCCTGGCCCCCGGCCGTTCCACGTCATTGTTCAACTCACACCTGGCCTCCTCGTGCATGCAGTTGGTGATCGGCGAGATCGGACCCAGCGCGGCCACGCCGCTCCAGGCCGTCAAGCTGCTCGCCGTGTACCTCTCCGGCGACGCCGGGAACAGGGTCGGTCCCGTACTCTATTTGCAACCAATGCGATTTCCCGTGTTCTGTCCGTCTGAATTACCACTTGTCTGAATGTTCGTCGTCCTTTGGTACCGGGAAATGCATTTCCCTGTCTGACTCTCTACGTGCGTCCTGTGATCCTTGTTCAAGGAATCGGTGGTCTCGAGGCTCCGTGAGCTCCTGCCAGATGCGGCGGTCGGGAGCAATCCGATCCTACGGTTGATGGCCGGCACCGTCTTCATGCACGAACGCGATTACGCCGAGGCTCTCAAGCACACCAACTCCGGTGGCAGCATGGAACTGTAAGCATATCCAACACGAACCATTCGTGTACTGTTCCATATGTACTGGATATATACTAAGTGCAGATTTACCATCTTCCCAGAGATGCTTTATAAAATGCATAAAACATTGAAGACTCGTCCTTCACTTTGGTGGTGCAGGCTTGCGTTGAATGTTCAGATATACCTTCAAATGAATAGGGCGGACCACGCAGAGAAGCAACTCAGGGTGATGCAGCAGCTGGACGAAGACCACACGCTGACGCAGCTCGCCAATGCATGGGTCGACCTTGTCATGGTAGGCACACACATTTCCCATGGTTCTCAGTTCTCACACGCATTTCAGAGTTTCAGTTCAGCCGCTTTTACTTTCTGAAGATTGAAGAACCTTCAGTTTTCTTCAATACAATATTGTACACCATGACTACTTGCCATATTTTTCAGGGTGGCTCCAAGATCCAAGAAGCGCACCTCATCTTCCAGGACTTGTCCGAGAAGTACCCGACGACCTGCACGATTCTTAACGGGAAAGCCCTGTGTTCGATGCACATGGGCAACTTCGAGGACGCGGAGGGCTTGCTGCTGGAGTCACTGAACAAGGTCAGCTCTGGTGATCCCAGTTTGCCCAAACGAGCATTTCCTTTGCCAAATAGGAGTATTCAACAATCAACACCATAGCTGCACTACTGAATCTGCACACGCCAATGTTTGCTCGTGCTTACACGAAACTCCTGAAACTGTTCAGGACGCCAAGGATGCTGAAACTCTTGCGAACCTCACTGTGTGCAGCCTCAACTTGGGAAAACCTGCAACGCGCTACCTCAAGTAAGTTTTCCCATAAAGTCTTTTCCTAGCGGAATAGCCGTCTGCGTTGTTCTGCCTGACAAGTCTGAATTCGGATCTCTTGAACTGAATGGCTGAAAGCAAACTGGTATTTTGCAGCCAGTTGAAGCTAGCACAGCCAGACCACGCGCTGGTGAAGCGCATGTCCTCCGCTGCAGACAGCTTCGACAGAGCCTGCGAAGCAATGGCATGAAATTTCATTTGCTCCATTACGTTTATTTTCCTAGGATGAATTGGAATAAGGGCATGTTTGTTTTGCACCTCCTATAGTTTAGTCATCTAAACTAGCTCCTAAACTTTAGTCACCCATGTTTTGTTTGCTGAACTAAAAAAGACTGAAAGAGGCCTTTTAGTCCATTTTAGTCAGAATGTTTGGCTCCAAAGTGAATAAAAGTTGAGGCAGCCTGACTAAAAGATAAAGTTTAGTCTCATTTAGCAACATTTGAGTGACTAGTTGGCTAAAACTCATTTAGTCCCATTTAGTCGAAGTGTTTGGGTAAGAAGTGACTAAATGGGACTAAATAGGACTAGATTTAGGTGGTGAAGAGCGTAGCCAACACCCCTAAGATCGTGATCTTCTGTCTCTGATGAGAAGCAAAGCAGCTAGAGCTTGGTTAACTTTACCGCTCGCAGTTGAACAGATCGCCCATGACCTGTCTGTCAATAAATTTGTCATGGTAGGATCTTGAGTTCTTGACTATATATGACATTTAAGAAAGGCTATATATATATCTTCTGATGCATTAGTGTAATTATGAGCCCACGTTTTTGCTTTCCACGTTTAAGCTATGGACCTCGTCCCCAGGCGCTCGCGCGGCAATTGATGCGGCGTCGTTCTCCTGCTGCTTCAAATACCCCGTCCGTTCCCTTCCGTTAGCCTTCGTGAAAGTGCCCACCACACCACTCTACAGTGTCGTCCCAATCTATGGGATTCATTTGGCCGGATTCGGGTGCCTCTAAATTTGAAGGCAAACATATCATGTGTAAATCAACAACTTGAAAACTATCGACTACCAATCAGGATTACTGGATGCTGATCCAATAGATGAGGTGAGGCAGTTTAAGCGCAAAAAAAAGAGACCGGCGGGTAGGGAGCTTAAGCGTAAAAAAAAATCCCACCTCTCACCACATCCATTGGATCAGCATCTAGTGGTCCTGATTGGTAGTTTCTAAGTTTACATAGATTAGTTGGTTTGCACCTGATACGTTGCCAAATTTAAATCAACATCTAATCCAAGTATTGTTTTCGATGTCTAAACAGAGAAAGAAGGGGGACCTGCTTCAACCATATGCATGGGAAAAATGGACTTATTAACTTTGCATCTAAGTAAGACTCAATTGTCCCTCATTATGGGCTGATTGGACCTGCCAACCTAAAACATTATAATCATTAGTGGCACAAAAAAAGAGTTATGATATTTGCAATAAGCTTGTCTCTTTATTTCATCAACTGAAGGCAACGTATAATTAATTCTAATATAACCGAATTTCAATAATTCATCAAAGATTCGGTCACATTTAGAGAAATCAAAAGTAAATTTTATTTCCTCATCCCGATTCTTATGAATCGGCTTGAGAGAAAGACAAATAACCAAATTATTTTCTACTGGCTATTTAATTTCAGCAGCTAAAAATTCTTTATTATCATCGTCAGAATCATCAGAACAATCACCAACAAAATGCACATTCTGACGATGAGATTTGTAAGCATCACGAGAATCTTTAAGGCAATTCAATCGTAACGGCCTTTTGTAGCAATTGATTAACATTAACAAATTCATAATGCTCAAGTTTCTCCCTAATACTAGACGTAAACTAGCAAAGCTTAAATTAGTTAAATCTCTTTCTGAAATCATCAAATGAAAACATTGGTTCTTGATTTCTCTAAATCGTTTGAAAAATCAAGGACTAACTCATCACGCCCTTGATGAACCGATGCAAGATGAGACAATCTAGTTTCATGAGCACCATTATAAAGGTGATTATAAAAATTTTCTTCTAATTCAACCCATGAACCAATAGAACAAGATGGTAATAAAGTAAACCATGCAAAAACTGTGCCAGTAAGTGATAAAGAGAAATTACGAACTTTCATGAAGTCATAAGCACTAGCTTCACCTAATTGTGCAAGAAACATGCTAATATGCTCCATGGTTGATCTACTATCATCACCACTAAATTTATTAAAATCAAGTACCCTCCACCCATCAGGTGTTTTCATGAAATCAAAATGCGAAGGGCACGGTTTGCGGTATGTAGTTCTACTAGGCTTGATTTGTACACCCAAACTTTCCTCAAGTGATTTAGATAATTCCTCTCTGAACCGATTCAAAGTATCGCTAAAATCGGTAGTAGGTGTATTATCAAGTATAGGGATCTGACTTGGTGACTTCGGCGGGTTAGGTAGAACCATGTTTTGCCCCGTCGAAGCTCGGTTTGTTGCTGATTTTCGATTGATTCGTGTGTTTTGAGCCGAATTTTGAACATAGATAACCAATTGTGAAGATGGAGCAACACCGACTAAACCGACCTTATTGGTTTCAAACACCAAAGGGGCCAATTTGCCTTTGTTTGCTGCTGCATATAATCCTTGATTCTCATAAAAATTTAAAGGCATGCCAAACTCAGGTTGTTTAGAAGTAGAAGCAACACCCGATTGGTTAACATCGATTGTTTTCCCTTCTAACTTATCAAAACGAGTCATGATCATATTTACCGTAGCTAAAAGATTATTATCAATTACTTTCTTATGATCATTCATCATAGTGCCATAGTCGGCATGCGTAGGATAAGGATCATCATCATATTTGGGTTTAGTGGTCCTTACCTCAGATGCAGCGTGTGCAGCTGATGTAGAAGTGATCAATTCGCTGAAGTCCGGCTCCTTGTATTGGATGACCTTGTCCCGCCGATCTTTAGTGCAACTCTGTAGAAAAGCCTTCAGAACAGCGTTGAATTTGGCCTCCACTTGTTGCTTCAGCTCCTCGAGAAGCTCTTCAACGATCTCGGGAAGATTGATGTTAGCATCATGAGGGACTTTAGTCTAATCGCCCTTCTCACCTGCATCATCACCCTTGCTTCCCATGCTGGTCTTAGATTGAATCTTGGATTGCTTCGCTTTTCCCAGCGGAGTCACCAAAAAGTATGTTGACGTTGAAGATGACCTCAAGCCAACACACTAGCAGGGTCTTGGACACCCAAAGAGGTTGTAGATTAACCTACAACGCAGCAAGAATGTAGTGTAATCGACCAAACCAATCTGGAGACCGATAAGGCCGATGTAGAGCCCGTTCTTGGCTGAAAAAGCTCTCGAACTTCTTCCGGGAAGACCCATTAGGGAGGAGCACGTGGAGGATCTCCTAGAACCGGCAATGCCGCCTAAGATGCCGTTGAATCTCGCCGAAAAACTTAACGAACAACAGGAGAGGTTGAAAGAGGGATATTAGGGCAAAATGAGTTGATATGTTGTGTTTTTTATGATTGGATAGATGGAAACTCAATCAGCCATGATCCTCTCATATATATAGAGGGGGATGGTCTTATCTCAGTAGAAAATATCTCCAAGACGCGTTCTCCAAGTTTCCCACATAAAAAATATACCAAAAACCGATTTTAGGAAGTCTCCTATTCGGTTTTCAGGCGGAGTCGGCTTAGCCGACTCGGCTAAGCCGACTTTTGCGGGTTGGGTCAGCCCCGCGGGCTGGTTCTAGGAGCCAGTTGGCTTAGCCGGCTAGGGCACCCGGCTAAGCCGACTAGGAGGGGGCAAGTCGGCTCAGCCGACTAGCTTGGCTCGCCAGCGGCTCGCTGTCTTCTCCACGTGTTTTGTTTGTTATTTTGTCATGCCGTTTGACCTTTAACATGTCCATGATGTTTATAACTTGTTCATGGTACTTAAAGCCACCTTGGGACATTTTTGAGTGTCAACAGCTAAACATGTATTTGCACATCTTTTCCCAGATGCATACACCTTAAAATGGTGCACATATATTGTCAAAATTTCACATTACTTCAATCAATCCTAGGACTGTAAATTCCAACAAACCAAAATTCTCGTCCGTGCCTAGCAAAAGAAAAAAACAATTCACATTCCCATTCCACCACCAATTCACTCCGATCAAAGAAGACACATCGCATTACCACAAGGTCAACAGCACGCATGACCAATCTTCTATGGCCCGATCATTAGGGTGTGTGTTATAACATATAATCTCAATAAACTACTTATTAGTAAGCTTAGTAATGTTTGCATGCAACTGATCTAGTTTCGCATGTTTCCTCCGCACTAGCTTCAGGTGAACACGAGAAAAATGAAACGGAGAGTTGCAGCACCTTCTCAACAACATTAGCGACAGTAGAGGTTGTAGCAGGCGTGGCACGCCTCTACTGCCTCTATTGGTTTATGGGATCGGTGCATCTGCATTGGACAAACTTTATGTGCATGCACCTAGCGAGTGAGATGCCCTTGGGCGCCATCTCGAATTTTCGATTGATCTAGTCGATTGTTAGACAGATAACAGACGATGCACATGGATGCATTCAGGTAGATGGACAGCAAAACCAGAAGCAAATACCCGATAATCATCGATCTGGGTGTACCTAGTCCTGATACAGAATTGAACCCACCGTTGACCGACGTCGTCGCGTCGTCCTTGAACTCTGGATGGAAGTGGCGCAGCACAGCAACGGATTGCAGCAGCACATAATTGTGGTCATCAATTGTCTACCGCTACGACCAGCGGGATCAAGAGGAGCGCCTACGGCAACCGAGTAGATGGAAGCACCATACCATAGGATAGGAAAGAAAAAAGGTGAGCGTCCGGCAGTAGCAGGGAGAAGAAAGGAGGAGGATCAGCGTTCATATAGCAAACATTGGAAGTAGGTGGAGAGAGAGATCGAAGTGGGGAGGCGCATAGTCCATGGGTTGTGGGTGCGGCCGACAGGATCGGTCAGCCACTATGCTTCACTCTGTCTCCTTTCTCGGTCGCCTCCCCTCTCCGTCGAGGCCACGCGGGAGCAACTTGTTATAGCTGCCTATGATGCCATGCATATGGGGGAGAAGAGATGGATCGTGTTGGGGTTTGGGGCTTGGGTCGCAAGAAGAACCAATCTCTCTGATGAAGCGAGCGACGGGGAGAAGAGATGGATCCACGAGCACTGCACTGCTGTGCTTGGTGCGTGCACCTGATCGACAAACCCGCGCGCCCGGCCATCCCATAACCGTTTCGCGCCGCGGTGTGATAAAGCATCGAGCTAGCGGGGCCCTACTGCAGCCTGCCGACGAGCTGTTTGCTTTTCACATGGCTTAGCTGCTGCTTCTGCGTCCTTGTGTCAGGCATGGCAGAGAGAGGAGGCCAGGGAGTATGTGCGCATAGCACATCGGCACTTCGCAGGAGAGGTGGAGAGCGAGCGTGGTGTGCCGCGAACTGGTAGCGAGATTTGCGCAAAAAGCGAGAGCGTCGCGACAAGTTAAGTTAAAGCAGCTTATGCGGCCATACGTGAGTGATATCATCGTCGTAGCACGCACACTGGCATGCGCGACAACGCCTCCGATCCGACCATGCACCGCACTGGTACGTGCTTCTGGGTCGGATAGGCCGAAGCCCGGAGAAAATCACCACGCTTGCGAGTGTGGCAGCATGCGGCGGCCACCGGCTTGGTGTTTGGTCTGGTATGGTCATCATGCCGGCCCGGCCGGTGCCCCCGTCTACGCGCGGCGGCAGCAGCCCAATAGGCGACAGGGAGCGAGCACGTGTATGCCTGTGGGCCACGTGTCAATCTCTTACTAGTAACACCTTGCTAATCTAACTGGCGGGTGGGCCGGAGTCCAGATGACGAGGGTGCTTTGCCCTCGCAAAGCGTGTCGCTGTTCTCTCATCGACACCAGGGCCCACAAAACACTACCGGGTTTGAGGTTTTCCCTATAGCACTTCTCTACCCTTATAATACACCACTTTAAATTATCCTACAGCCACCAAACAAATCCCACTTTTAGTTAAACTACGCCCACTCCACATAACGCATTACGTTATGACATTAAAAACGACGCAAAATTAACTCACTTATTCTCTCTCCTTACTCAACCACATCCGACATAATATTCTTTGGATCTCCCACCCCCATCTCCCCGCTTCACCGCTCCATAAACCCTCGAGCATCCCTCACGATTGCCGCTCGCAATGGAAGGTCTACTTTCGATTGGATTTGATTCCTACTGTGTGTCCAACCCTAGCTTCCATCTCGATCCAATCCCAGTTCCACTTCTTCCTCCTCCTCGGCGGCAGAGGCGGCCGTCGTCGAATGAGTTGAAGATGACGGCATACTCCTAGGAAAGGTCGAGAAAAGGAAGGAATCGAGGGAAGAGAGGAGGTGTTGGGCTCCTCCTCCATGGAGGGCGAGGCGGAGCGGCGCGGCGACTCCTTCGTCTTGTGCTCCCGTGAAAGCGCAAATCGCCGCCATCGCCTCGCAGCAGCCGCCTTTCGGCCTCATCCGCACCCCTCGGCGCACCCGCCGCTCATCCCGCACCCTCAACTCATCGGCGCTTTGACCTCCTCCGCCGCCGCCTCGACATCCTCCTTCTCAACCCCCGACACCAAGCCAAAGGCCAAGCGCCCGCGCACACCAGATCCTCTCCCTCCCCTCCACCAGAGGATGCCCCCGCCCGTAAAGACCATGAGGGGCCACTACTGCCGAGCTGCCCTTACCTGTGCTTGCCTTGATGGTCTGCCATGGGCTGACCCTCCGCCGACGTCTTCGACTCTGCGACCCCATTGCCGACGCGGATGCATCCGCACACCGCGACAACATCATCATCCTGCCGAGTAAATCGCCTAGGCGCATCACGCGCTCCATGCTCCAGCCCAAGTCTCCCCTCCTACCGCCGTTCTTCTCGACAATGCGGCTCGCTCAAACAAACCGGAACATGGGAGGAAGAGGAGGATGGCAAGCCATTGAGGCGCTTCACGCATCACTCTTGGTCAAGGATAAGGACACGAGGACCTCTCGTGCACCACCACCGCCAAAGAATGCCTCCTCCTCCCCTTCGCCCAACACCACCACCACCACAAGTACCAAACAAGACAACAAGAGGAATAAGAATACAAACAAGATTCCCACCAACCTCGGGGAGTGCTTGCCACCGGCTGCTTAGCTTGAAGGTCAGCCCGTCAAGTACATCATGAGGAAAGGCAAGGTATGTATGTCGCCATACTTTCTCTATTTATTGACCCACTTTGTTAAATCATAAATCTGTTCCTTCACACTTCTTTCTTACTAAGAAATGTGAGCAAAAATAAATTGCAATGAAAAAATAATCTACAATATATTGCACATTTCTTAATGATGATTTCATTTCATACACTTGTCAAGGTGTCGTGCATCAAATTAATAAGACACAATCTTTGGATAGGTTAGTATTCCTTCGCTCCAAATTGTAAGCCATTCATGCTTTTCTAGATACATAGTTTTTGCAATTTGGAACGGAAGGAGTATAAAATAACAAAACAAAACAAGTGCTTCGTCACTTCATGATATAAGCATGGCCTCTCGCACCTATATTGTCTTTTTCGCACAAAAAAAAACATGATGCATTCCATGGACGCCGCGTGCCCAGACCGACCGCCCGGCTCGGGCTGCCATGGCGAGGAGAAGGCTTCTCGGCTGCTTCCGGATCCATGGGAGGCCTCATGCGATCACTGTTGTGGGAGGCGACCCACCTCAGTTCATCCTCGGCCTCCGGTTTTCAAGGTCTGTCACCAGAACCCCGCTTCCTATCCATGGGATCGGTTCGGAGGTTAGGGTTTGCTCTTCCACTCCATCCGTCTTGGTTTACCTTAAAGGCGTGTTTTTTACATCTCGAAAAGTTTAGATCAGCGAATTATTTTAGGCTACTATGCTGGTAAGAGATACCTATTTCATCGGATAGATGAAAATAGTTTGTATCGATGAATTTGACAAGATGAGACCTGAAGACAGGTAGGCATCAATCAATTTATATGTTTGGTGAAACTAGAATAAACATATTACTTCTCCTTTTTTGGTCTGCTCTCGAAACCACATTAACACAGTCCCCGTTTTCTTATGCTATTC